TCCATTGCTACGGTTTTGTTGCCCTTATCCGACGATAGAATTTTAATATTTATATTTTCTTTCAGTAATTTTCGTGTCTGTTCCACTGTGTCCAGTATTGCTCGATCCCTACTGTTTTGGTTGTTCTTGGTTTTATGCTCTTTGACTAACAAAGAGAATTTTGTGCGCGCCGACTCTTGTGTTTCCTTTTCTTTTATTGTTTGCACTAGCTCCTCACCGTCTGCGATGTATTTCAAGAGAGGAAAATCTCTCTTGCTGATTGGGAGAGCGAACTTCGGCCCTTTTGCGAGTAACGCTACGACGTTTGGCGGGAATTCTATTTTTGTTTTGTTTACAAACCACTCTCTTTGCGTGTTGTTATCCGCTAAGGCTAGGTTCCGTTGATCTCGTAACTTATCGTGTTTCGTTTCTTGTCTTTTCTTGAGTGTTGTTGTTATTTTGTTTTCTATATTTCTCTCGCTCTCAAAAAACGCTTTTGCGTCATCTGTGGTCATCAGTTGTTCTATGTTTGTTTTTGCTTTTTCCAAATACCATGTGGCGGGGATAACAACAACAAGTGCAATAGTGTCTACATAGGTACAACAAAATCGAAGCTAAAAACAAGGATTAGTCAACATAAATCGGACTTCAAACTAAGACATCAAAATAATATACAGAAAACAGCACTTATGACCCATTGTATAAGAAGCAACCACACACCAAATTTTGATGAAACAACAATCTTACAACAAGAACAACACTATAACAAGCGACACACATTGGAAATGCTACACATAATTAACACACCAACCTACAAACGACTAAACTACAAGACAGACACAGAAAATTGCGCTCACTTGTACAGACACCTCTTAAACAGTCAAACAACCTCAGTAACAATCTCCACGTCAAAAAGCGCAGACGTGTAAAATAATGTATGTAAAATGTTCGAAATAATGTTTAATTTATTGTATTATAATTGTTAATTGTTTTTTGTATCTTGGTGTTAGTGCCCTGAAGACGGTTTGCCGATGTGCAACCGAAATATATCGGAAGAGAATTGAATAAAATTGTTTTTCATTGTTTGTTTTAACAAACACGGACCTCGAGCCAGCCAACAAATAAATATTGAAATATGGAAAGGTCGCCAGAGCCATCAATAAATATCAACGGAAGGCACGCCGTATGCACAGCAACCAACATGAGCTACGCAAAAATAAAAACTAAATACAAGGATTCGAAAAGAACAATTAATAAATTCCAACTAACACTGGTAAAATTAACTAAACTTAAATCTAGTTTAAAATTTTTGTTAAAATGTAGAAAATCAAATTTAATACCTAACTTCATCAAAAACTTGACACAGCATTTGACCATACTGACCACTGACAATAAAACCCACCCTGACATAACAAGAACATTGACTAGACACACACATTTTTACCATACCAAAATATTAAACTTACTTATAAAACACAAACACAACCTATTACAAGAACAAACAAAACATATGGAAAAAGCAAAAACAAACATAGAACAACTGATGACCACAGATGACGCAAAAGCGTTTTTTGAGAGCGAGAGAAATATAGAAAACAAAATAACAACAACACTCAAGAAAAGACAAGAAACGAAACACGATAAGTTACGAGATCAACGGAACCTAGCCTTAGCGGATAACAACACGCAAAGAGAGTGGTTTGTAAACAAAACAAAAATAGAATTCCCGCCAAACGTCGTAGCGTTACTCGCAAAAGGGCCGAAGTTCGCTCTCCCAATCAGCAAGAGAGATTTTCCTCTCTTGAAATACATCGCAGACGGTGAGGAGCTAGTGCAAACAATAAAAGAAAAGGAAACACAAGAGTCGGCGCGCACAAAATTCTCTTTGTTAGTCAAAGAGCATAAAACCAAGAACAACCAAAACAGTAGGGATCGAGCAATACTGGACACAGTGGAACAGACACGAAAATTACTGAAAGAAAATATAAATATTAAAATTCTATCGTCGGATAAGGGCAACAAAACCGTAGCAATGGATGAGGATGAATATAAAAATAAAATGACAAATATTTTAGACGACTTATGCGCGTATAGAACATTGAGACTAGATCCGACATCAAGACTACAGACAAAGAATAACACCTTCGTAGCACAATTATTCAAGATGGGTCTTATTTCAAAGGACGAAAGAAATAAGATGACTACAACAACAGCGGTACCTCCGAGGATATATGGACTACCAAAAATACACAAGGAAGGAACTCCACTGAGACCAATATGTTCTTCCATAGGATCTCCATCTTACGGGCTGTGCAAATATATAATACAAATATTAAAAAATCTGACAATGGACTCTAGGTACAACATCAAGAACGCGGTAGATTTTAAAGACAGAGTCAACAACTCCCAGATTAGAGAAGAGGAAACATTAGTATCTTTTGACGTAGTATCCTTATTTCCCAGCATACCAATAGAATTAGCACTTGACACAATAAGACAAAAATGGACCAAATTAGAAGAGCACACGAATATACCGAAACAACTATTTATGGACATAGTTAGATTTTGCATACAGGAAAACAGATATTTCAAATACGAAGACAAAATATACACACAACTTAAGGGAATGCCAATGGGATCACCGGCTTCCCCAGTAATCGCAGATATATTAATGGAGGAACTGTTGGACAAGATTACAGATAAATTAAAAATAAAACCAAGACTCTTGACCAAATATGTAGATGACCTTTTTGCCATAACGAACAAAATAGACGTGGAAAATATTCTAAAAGAATTGAATTCCTTCCACAAACAGATAAAATTTACAATGGAATTAGAAAAGGACGGGAAATTACCATTTTTAGACTCTATTGTAAGCAGAATGGACAACACACTCAAAATAAAGTGGTATAGGAAACCCATAGCCTCCGGACGAATACTCAACTTCAATTCAAACCACCCAAAGAGTATGATAATCAATACAGCACTAGGCTGTATGAATAGAATGATGAAAATATCGGACACAATATACCACAAAGAAATTGAACATGAAATCAAAGAACTTTTGACCAAAAATGACTTCCCCCCAAATATAATCAAAACATTATTAAAAAGACGACAAATCGAAAGAAAAAAGCCAACAGAACCTGCTAAAATATACAAATCACTAATATATGTACCACGACTATCAGAACGCCTCACAAACTCAGACTGTTATAACAAACAAGATATAAAAGTAGCACACAAACCGACGAATACATTACAAAAATTCTTCAACAAGATAAAGTCGAAAATCCCGATGATCGAAAAAAGCAACGTCGTTTACCAAATACCATGTGGCGGGGATAACAACAACAAGTGCAATAGTGTCTACATAGGTACAACAAAATCGAAGCTAAAAACAAGGATTAGTCAACATAAATCGGACTTCAAACTAAGACATCAAAATAATATACAGAAAACAGCACTTATGACCCATTGTATAAGAAGCAACCACACACCAAATTTTGATGAAACAACAATCTTACAACAAGAACAACACTATAACAAGCGACACACATTGGAAATGCTACACATAATTAACACACCAACCTACAAACGACTAAACTACAAGACAGACACAGAAAATTGCGCTCACTTGTACAGACACCTCTTAAACAGTCAAACAACCTCAGTAACAATCTCCACGTCAAAAAGCGCAGACGTGTAAAATAATGTATGTAAAATGTTCGAAATAATGTTTAATTTATTGTATTATAATTGTTAATTGTTTTTTGTATCTTGGTGTTAGTGCCCTGAAGACGGTTTGCCGATGTGCAACCGAAATATATCGGAAGAGAATTGAATAAAATTGTTTTTCATTGTTTGTTTTAACAAACACGGACCTCGAGCCAGCCAACAAATAAATATTGTAGTTAAAAATAAATAAAAGCGAGGTATAAGGCCAAGCAGGAAAAACTACGTTTTCTGCAAAAAAAAAACTTGGTGAACTTTCTTTGTGCCAGCTGAATTTTGATTTACGACCACTTAACGTTTTTTATGGCCGCAGACAACAAGAATGCGTTAGTGTGCGCCTCAGCACTTATGCCAACACACATACATAAAATGAATCCCTACGCCTTAGGATGGAGCATTATTTGCAGTAAATTAATGGTTGAGAGTTCAGTTTCTATGTACATAAGTAGTTTTGTTTGCAAGTCACCAGAAACAAATGAGAACGGCGCAGTCGGGTGCAAACGACTGCACAATACTCTATTCACAACTTTACCGATTGTATTTTTTACCCCCCTTTTAACTTATTGAATGCATCTCGGTTTATTACGAAAAATTACAGAATAATACACACGTTTATTGATATTTATTTAAGTTTATTTTATGGAAATGCAATTATTTTATACGATATTTATGTTGCTTTCCTAAATTTAATAAGAACGATTATGCTTGTATTTCTGTTAATTTCAATTAAGTGTGTGTGTGTGTTTTTCTTGTGTGAAAACACATAAAACACTTTTAATTTATATATTTTGTGTTTTTTATTTTAATCCTGTAATATTAAATGCCATTACACATTTCACATTTGTGCGACAATAAATCAATTTTGCATTCATATTTTTACTTAGTGACATATAATTTGAAGTTCTGGCGTTTGAGGACTGCAAATAACTGTATTTTATTATTATTGTATTATTTATTATGACAAATATATATTGTTATAGTATAATACAGTGGCAAAGTGCTAGCGGTCCACTCACTTGGCAAATCGTTCGCTCAAAAAACTCGTTAATGCGTTATTTTTGAATGGACTTTAACGGTCACAACTAAACCAAATACTAATTTACAATTTTATTATTAGTAACTCTAGCCTTGTTTATGCAGGCGCAAAACAATGCGGCTTTAAAGGTTAAATTAATTTGGGAAAACATACACACTGTATATATGTACATACATATATACCAAATGTTCGACTGCATGTTGTTTGGTGTATTTTAATTATTTTGGTCATGCCATGGAAACATAAAATATTTTTAACATGCTTTAGCCACTGGTATTTTAACTGTTTTTTTCTTTTTAATATCTTTACAATAAATAATTTAATTATAATTATAAAACATAATAAGCACTGATTCCGTACGCCTACGTATTAAATTATTTATTTGCAACCTTTAAATAAAACATGAAACCCACATATATCTCTACTTTAAGTAAGTCAGAATATAAATTTGTATTCTACGTATGAACGTACTAATTATATTACATACTTATTTTTATGCTTCTTGATTTTATTTATATCGTCATTTCGTCGTTTTGATTGCTGTGCCAACATAATGTTATTTCAACTTCCATTTGCCTGTGCATTGTCAGAGGAATATTATTGTATGTTAATAAATAAATGAAGAGCGATTGAACTCAATTTTCAGCTTACTGGACAGACAGACGGATCGACAGACAGAGAGACAGACAGATGGACAGTGAGACTGGCAGACAGTTAAGCTCGAGTAATAATTACTGCCTACTGCAAAAGTCCACTGACTGCAAAAGTGGTTGCCATTGTTGTGGCTGTGGCCGCCATTGCCATGCTGCGCATTTCCGTTTGATTTGCGATGGGCTCTAGCTGGTGCCAGAGCTGCGCACCCGTTAACGCCTTCTCGGTGTGATTGGGGTTGACCCTCTCCAGATGGGACACGGTAACGGGCTCATCGCGGCGCGTTCTCACCGCCTGCGGCAGTGGTCACGACGACATATACGTGCATTGTGTCTTTGGTTGCGGCTCCGTCTGCTCGATTGGTTGAATAGCGGCGCGCTTCCAGTAGTCGCGTACCGTCTCTACAGTTTCCATGATCCGCAAAAAGTTGCGTCCAGCCAGCATGGCGACATCCTCCTCACTCCAGTTGTGATCTTCTAACAGCGCAGCAAGCAGCTCCGGGTACTTAGATACGTCCTCCAAGCCCATCGGGGGCATCTCAATGCCATCGTAACCGGCACCCAGGCCAATGTGTTGAATGCCGGCAATGGCTCGCACATATTTAATATGTTCTATTACATCCTGCAATCGCGCCTGACGTCCGCAGGCCACGTCCTCTGGGTCAAAGCTCAGCATGATGAGACCACCATTCTCGGCCACCAAACGCAATATATCATCGGGCACGTTCCTCGTCGAGTTGCACAGCTGGCGTGCTGCCGAATGAGAGAAGATGACGGGTGCTCGTGTCACCTGAAGCACATCACGCGCCGTTGCATCCGAGCTGTGTGAAAGATCGATCATCATGCCCAGACGATTCATTTCCCGCACAATGGCCTTGCCAAAGGGCGACAGGCCCTGCTCCAGTGGGGAGGCACTTGACCCAGCCCAGGACACATCGCAGCGATGCGTCAGGCTGAGGTAGCGTGCACCCAGCGAATAGAAAGAGCGCAACACGCCCAGTGAAGAGCCGATTGTGTGGCCCCCCTCGATGCCGATCAGCGAGGCCAGGAGGCCGCGCCTGTGCGTGGCCACTATCTCCTGCGAGGATGTCGCCAACACCGTATCTCTTGCATACATGTCAGACAGCCGCCGCACAATGTCGATTTGCTCCAGTGCCAGCTGGACCGCATCCAAGCCCTGCGCCTCGCATGGCACGTATGCAGACCTGCAATGAAACCCAAAACAAAAAAATATAAACAAAATAGTTTTTAGTTCATAAGGTCTCTCTGCAGGGCGAAGGTTCAAGTAATTGAAAAATGCGCAAATTTAACACCTGCCTCCTAATTCTACAAATTTATATAGCTATTATAATATCAACCCAACTGTCATTACATGCTATGGACTGTTTGAGATGCTTGAATGTTAGGGTTACTTTGACAATTTTTTAAGACGATCTTAAGTATGCTGTGAATTTATAAAGTTCAGTTTCACATGTTTGTTGAAAGTGTAAGTCCAACACAAAAACACATTAACACTTTTTTAATATGCACAGGACGTGGGCGCGCGCTGAACAGTTCAGGTCTTGCAAGGAAAGCCATGAAATCTTTCCCAGGGAGCCGCCACAAGCTCGTCACAATGCTTTTATACCGTCATTTGATAAAGAACAACCATCAATTGGTTTATTGTTGGGCTGGGAATATGGCCGCCTCTGGTTGAAGGAGCATAAGGAGAGTATGGATAAGGAACTTAGTGAAACGAAGCCATATTTTATTGAGCCAGACTTTGGTTGGTGGGTAAACAAGCGCACTACTGTCCTAGACCGTCGTCAGATCTTTTTAAAGAAGAAACAGAATCCACATTTCAAGAACTGCAATTTGTCTGCATTTGCCAATTCGAAAACTCATCGTAAAAAACATACAAGTAGTTCGAATGCTAACAGTTCAGCTGCTCCCGGATCAGAACAAGCTGGATTAGTTGCTACAGGATTGGATCATGCTGGTACGGTTTCAGACGGAGCAGCTCGGATGACCGACGCTGAGAAGAGGAAGATATGCAAATGCAAGGACTGCAAGCAACGCCGCTGTGGAGGTCAGGAAAAATATAAACTATTATCTGAAATAAGGAAATCCGTTCCGATTCCTTGGTATTGAAATTGTTAATGTTCGTAAAATGGCTCAACAATACAATCTAGTGGGATTAAAATCTAGGAGGACACTCAAATCTATGAGAAATCATTGGCTTGTTCCTGAAGTAAATAATATAAATATTTCAATACATGTCAATTATGGATTAACATAGAAAATACTTTAGCATATAAGGAATAGTTTTGTTCTCATTAGTGATTTCATTTATTGACTGACTCGACATTATCTATTTCTCTATTTCTCTCGTCCATTTCCTACCCATTCAGATCCTTGCGATATCATTATTATACAGTTTGCGTGCTACCCATAAAAGTGGTTAACTAACAGCACATTTGAATTTTAAATGCAATGACATTGCAATGAGGAGGGCCACTAAAAACTGCTATAGCCAACCAAATGGCGCAATCCTGGTGAGCTTTAGTTCAAGCTTCGGCGAATACTGACGGAGTTTCGGACGGAAATTGAACAATGACGACCACTAAAATTAAGTTCAAAAATGGCCCCGAGTTACGCTCTGTTTGGAGGCGGGCAGAGCAACAGCCTGAATGTTTGGTGTCAGAGGTCTACCAAATAAAATCGAGTGGATTGCCCATCAGCATTTTTCCCAAACTGCAGCTGTCTGCCGCCTGTCAAGCACCACTCCTCCTGTGTTCCCAATCCATTCCATTTGTTTTGCTGTTGTTTCTAGTTTGGGCATAGCATGCAGATAGGCATGTTGGCTGGGTGCTAAAGATTGCCTGGAAGCTGAATAAGGTTGGCCGTTTGCCCTGCAGCCACGCGGTGGCTGTTGCCAAATTTTATTTTGCAGTCAAATTGTTGGCAGCTCTTGCCCGTGGGTGGGCGGCGGTGTGAATGTGGGCATTGCGGCGATTGCTCTTATGTTGCTGATGTGTGCCCGGTGCTAGGTAATTGTTATGGGTGAATGTCAAACATGGTTGAATGTCTATCAGTAAAACAACGACCAAAAAGAAAAAAACTATTTTAAAGTCTTTTGCAGAGAACCAACATGTTGTCAGTTGGGTCGATGAATCTGTTGTTATTTTGCTAGCTGAGTAGGATTCAATTTTATCAGCATTGGATATAGTTATTTTCTAGACAGCTAAGTCTTCAACTAGCCTCGCATAATGTATAGGCTTTGATTGCTCTTAAAGACTATTTATTTAAATTAAAGTTGTTTAGATAGTTTACTACTTACCAGACCTGCACACCGACAAGTCCTTGCTTAAGTCGTTCCATATCTGTTTGCGCCCACGTCGGGCGTGCCCACATCGACTTGTGATCAAGGTCGTGGCTTAGATGAACCAGCTCCAGGCTACTGTGCGCGTACTTGCGCACGTTCCAGGCAAAGTTGTTGTGTCCGTCGACGAGCGGTACTTCACGTAGGATGCGCCTAACGATTCGTAGTCTTTGCGCGTGAGAGTTTCGACTGGGCGACATAAGAAAGTGTTGGTAGGCCAGTGTAGCTGCTATAGCCAGCAGGCAGATGGCGCTCACCAGGGTCAGAGCCACCATCCAAGAGCCGCGTCGCGTCTTGTGGGCGGCGCCTGAGCTGTTTCTTGCCTTGCGGGTAGTCTTTCCCTTTGCTTTGCCGGAGCCACCGGCTGTCGCTGCCGCTTCCGTTGCCAAAGAGGTGGGCGACTTTGTTTCGAGAGCGATTCCAGCGATATCGCTGCCAACGACGACTCCGCCCGTCATCGCACTGCCAAAGCCCTTGGACTTCTGGATGCTGGCAATCTCTCCGCCTGAATCACTGTTAGAGATCGAGTTCTGGCGGGAGAGTGTACGGCGTATGTTCGAGTGCTCCGTTACGTCTGGCAGCCCGCCAAACCCGGTTGTCTACAATAAAAGTAAATAGGCAAAAGGGTCGCATTACTTTGCTGCTTTTTATTGGACTTATTACCTGACAGCATAAGGCGCTGCCTCTTATCCCAAACCCCACCGTCTGCTTCTAAGTTGCTTCATTAAAAGTACGTCAAAGTTTCTTCGTTGATTTTGCGCTCTAATTAAAACTGTTGCAAACTTTGAACTTTTTGTAATATTCATAGCTGGCATGAAACATCAACAAGGCTCAATCTGAAACTTTTTAATGAACCAAGTGACCAAATCAAAATCAATGCATTTGGAACCTTTCAATTTGATACACCAGGCGCGGCGGCTCACTGGCTATTAGGCTAATCTCGGCCCTAACTTAATTGAGCCTTTGCAATAATTCATATATGCCACTGTGCATGGAATTGGTCGTTCACATAAACCTTCATTCGCCCAAAACCCCAAAAACTTTCTTTCGCAAAAGTTTGTCATCAAGTTCGCCCTGAACTGTCAATGCTATGATTAAATTGTGACTCTCTGAGGGAATTATGGGAAGATCAACCGAGGAAAATTCCCAATGAAACAAATCAAATTCCTGTACGTGCATTATAGGCATCGGTGCACACCCTTATCTATGATAAACCCAAATTATATTGGCTTAGTTTAACGTAGCGCCTTTTTAGAATTCAATTCAATGTGGGAAAATTTTATCTATAATTAAGAGCTATAACTAAATCCTTAGATATTTATTTAACTGCAAATTAATGTTATATGAAACATATTTTATTCCGCAGACCGCAGTCAGCTACCCTTCTTTATTTTGTTGCCCTTGCTCCTTTATACGCATTTGCGGTTAATTAGGTGAACCTCAGGGTATGTGAGCAATGAACAAATAATATTGCTTTAGCAAAGATTGCTGAACTAACTACGACATACCCTTTATCCAGAAATATTGCATGAAAAATTGAGTTTTTAATCTTATCCATTTAAATCTTGATCGTTATATTTTTCATATCCTATTTAAATTCATTTCTTTTTAACTATCAAACTAACAACTAACAAAATTTATGAACTCAGCCAAAGGTTAAGAGCCCGAAACTCGTCCTTCTGCCCTTGCTTGTAGAGTTTTATTTATTCCCATTTTTGCCCTAGCTTTATGCTAACAGAGTATAAAAGAGAAAAGGAATATCTGAAAATGTTTTTATATGCCAGTGGAAAATTAATTAAATAAAATACACGCGATGCAAAATAGGATGTCGGCCATGCCCGAAGTACAACAGAATGGGACGCCTGATACATTTAAAACTATTTTTAATTATGAATTGCGCCTGCATCCGGCAGCGAAATTAACTTTTATTAATACTGGCGAAACTTTCGACATTGCAATGCAAGTAATAACAAGTGGAAACGATTTGCTATGAGGTTTCCGACTACGGGATACGCTATGTTCAGTGTCAACTAGATGGCAAAGTTTGGGCCCTTCTTAGCTTCAGAATTATGAGTGATATATATTATGTGGGTGGGCTTGGTAAAACAATGAAGGTCAAGGAAATAAATACTAAATTTGGGTTTCGTTAAATAAATATATTATGCTTATAGTTAAATAGGCTTACTTTAGCGCAAGCCCAATATACTCTTTCTACTCTGGAACCAGAGTAAGGAAATAATGAGGCTGGTTAAGCTTGCATAAAAAAAAAACTCAATTTTTAATAAAAATGCAAATATTTTTCATATTTTGTACTGCAACGATGCTTTGCATTTTCTGTATTTCTGTTTCTTCTAAAGGTGGCTAAAAAGCACGTCAAGTTCTCTGGTATAAATGTTAAAGGAGTTGCGCTTATTAGAAGTTGATATGTTTGTGTTCTAGTATAAGCAAATAATTTTATAGTGCCTATTTATTTATATAGTTTGCATATATGAGACAGTTACAGGGTATCTTTGGGTCCATCGCTGATGTAAGGGTGCATTATTTTAGCCAGTTGGTTGGCTTGCAGGGCGGGTGCCAATGCGAAAGTTTGTAGTTGGCGCTGTTACCGCGAATTTTTATTTGAGTATTGAAAGGATGGGTGGCTGGGGGTGAATCGTACTTTAACCGGAAAGCAGCTTTAGCACTGAATACCCCTGCGTGGCGAAGGCGTTGGCCCTGTTAACAAATTTATGGGCGGTGCCAGGCGATGACCTCACAGCAGGTGGCAGCATTTGGGGCATGTTCAAAATTTTGGTTGCACTTTGCTGTGGCTGCTGCGCCGAGATTATAATAATTTCTAATTAGTTCAATTCGGCTCTAGAGCAAATTTGGCAAATCTGTCAAAACAGTAATGGTGTAATTTTAAAAGCTGGCTTGCAAATAGTCCATTAGTGAAAGAATATTTCTATTGCACTACTGAATAGAACTTAACAGGCTGAATTTAATGCTCAAAACTAGAAATTTTAATATAGTTTATAAGTCTTATTTGGCTACGGGCAGCAGTTTTATAGATTTATACAAAATACATCATTACACGCCAACGCCAACATGCTGACGGACGAGGACCATCATGTTGTGTCTAGAGGCACGGAAGATATTGATGTTTGGTCCGATATACCCATTGATCAACGAGCAAAATCTGATATGGATACGATAATGGAGCCAAGCGATGAGAATGACGACTTTTTGGACAATCCCGTGCTTCGATTCCCACACATAAACATAGATGTATTTAATATTGTTGGAGCCGTTGAAATCGATAGGGAAGTTTCTGCTGAGACGTGGGCAATCATCGAGTCTTTGGTGGAGCAGGAAGTATCCCAAATGGAAAACCCACAGTAGTTTCAAGTATCTGCTTGAATTCATTTTAAAATTAATGCATTTGCGTTATTTATTTGAAACAGACAAGTGTTTGTTATATCTCTAAACGTGATTTAGAACTTAACAGACCTAACTATTGAAGCAAGACTCTTTGAGGTCTACCATATACCGAGAATATGACAACGGAAAATGACTTTAAAATCTTTTTATATCCCGAAGCAGAGCTGGATTATACATACTTTCATGCAGATTTCTACCCAGGCAGGAAACGTCCGATCTTTTAACGAATATGTATATATATATATATAAATGAATATATAAATATATCATGATGTGAATATTATTTAATAAATGCAAACACTAAAACAAAAGTTTTAATAGAAATTTATTTAAATTAAATCAAATAGATTTAGTCTTTTTTGCAAAGACTAATATATTTGTGCGTGTTATTAATCAAACTTGATTCCTTAGTATTTCGCTGTTGAGTTTTAAATAAGAGTAAAACATACGATATAGTTCCAACTGCTACTTTTATAGGGCCTGACTAAAACACGCAATTTCCGCAGCATTTTATTTGTAACTCATCAGAGCAGAGCAGAGCGACAGGCGGCAGTCACATGACACAAAAGGCGGCAAGCAGCAGGAGCAAAAAGGCAGGAATAGGAACAAGGACAACAAAAAATGGCAGCTGTAACAAGAAAAGCAAAGGATTTGAGCAAAAAAAACCTAGCGGAAAGCTTTTAGTTTTCCGTTGTATTTTCTTTGCTTTTTGTTTCAGGTTCAGTTTTCCGAAAACAAGTTTTGTATACCTTGTATGCCAAAAACACCAAAACAATGGGAAACAATTGAAGCATTCATATTCATCTACATGTTTAAATTGGTAAGAAAAACCTTTTGAAAACAGCTGCCTTCATTGGCTGTCATTGCAAAAACCTATCAGCATCGGATCACAGCATCATATTGTTTCAATAGGAGCCATCGGCTAGAAATAAAAGAGAGTTGTGAGTCCAAGTATGGAAACAAATCGCTAATTTGCTGTGCTTGCAAATATATTTAACTCGTCTGGATATTTACTTTAATTTTTAAATAACAGCAACAATGCGCAGAAGAAAGAATAATGTGTAGGAAATTAAATAAAAAATATATGCGGTTGTTTAGTGTTGCTGTAAGAACTTGCAGAAAACTGTTGTATAAAACTTTTCTGTTCTTTTACCGAACCGTTCTGAACTTATTTTGGTCTGTGTGAAAATTTGTAGAAGACATGTTTCACAGTTTTCGCAAAACCCACTTCTATAGCGGTTAATGGGGGTCCAAGGTTGTATTGCGAAAGATAAAGTTTTGCCAGAGTGGGTTCAAACTTATTTTCATAATGGCTTAAACTTGGAATGTAGTTGCTCCTATGTGACGCTTGGAATAAGTTTATTTCCAAATACGAATTTTCCCACATTACACCGCAATCAAAGAAATCGATAAAAATATGCATGGGCTAGCTAGGTAAAGGGTATCATCTAGAGGTGCATTCTCGATTCTAGTCCAAGTGCCTTAAGCGTAGCATAGAGCTTTAAAATAGGTTTGAGAAATGATTATGATGAATGCGTTCATAAATATGGAAAGCTGATTTGTGCCCAACTTTGGGGACTTTTCGCCCATTGTGGTCCACTTTTCAACGCTTGCCCATTACAATTTTCATGGCCCCCCCCTGTGGCGCCTGGGGGGTTGTAGTTGGAGTTCTCGACATCGCCCATTGCCGCTGCTGTTTTGCCGGCTGCGGTTCATGTCAACGTCGGCAAGTTTTTAGTTTTTCAAATGTCGTTGGGGCTTTTCACGCTGATGGACATCACCAGCAATAACGACAGCATTCCTCTCGCATCCTCGCATCCCACTACAATTCTTTTTCCACTTCTCGCCTGTACACCCACTAACCGCAATGTTGTTGCTTTGTTATAGCCTGCCCTGGTCTCTAGTCTGAAATGGGCATCAAGAGGAAAAGGAGCAGCTGCCCGGACTGGCGGCGATGGCTGTGCTGGGACTTGGTGTTTGTTTGCTTCTGAGTTTGTCTGTTTCTCTGTTTGCGTGTATGTCTATTTGTCTCTGAGTTATCTGGGCGATGACCGGCGATTGTCTAGACCCTGCTCTCTCTGGCTGTCTGGTTGTGTCTGCGTGTGTGTGCGCGCTTAGTTTGCTATTTGTATTGGAAGTTAAGGAATTGCAGCTCTTTAAGTGTTCATTTAACAATTGAAAGTTTTAATCGACTTTCTTTGTACAGCACTCTTGTGCGCCCCAACTGACTTCAAATCAAGTAAGTATATGTGTGCGAATGGCGTCTACATTAAAAGCGAAAGTTGACAAAAGTTGCGTGTTTCGTGTTTATCCCGATTGGCTTCCCACGCTCTTAGTGCTTAAAAGCACTGAATTAAGAAATGTAACCCTTAATAATGTACTATTTGTTAGCAAGACTATCTTACTAGTCTGCGAATAAGTTTAATTTTTGTAGTTCTCGTTAATCGAATCCCAGGTAAGTGTATGGATGGATGAAGTTTTAGGCAAAGCATGTAAATGGCCATACTAGCTGCCAGTGATATTTTAAAAGTTAGACTGAAAGTAGATTGCAAGTTTATTAAATACCTATAACAATATTATATAACAGATTAGTTCATAGTTTCCATAAAGAAAACTGTACAAACATGCATCTCAATTTCTTGCTTTGTTTTATAGTTTACTTCTCTGCTGCATGTTGAACGTTGCATTCTGCATGTTGCATGCTGCATGTTGCATGTTGTGATTGTGTAATTGGACTGTGTTTGCGTGTAGTTTGTAAGTCAACAAGTTTATCGATTGTATTTTTAAGCTGACTCGCAAAGATGGCTTGCCATAGTCATGTTTTCGCGGATAATAAGTCATGATTACATTGTATTCCATCATGTTACACTCTTGAAGGGGAGTGGCAACAACTTTCGGTTGAAAAAAGGAAAGCAAAGCCAGAGCTGACATGAACATTGACGGGTACAGAACATAAAAATATGCTAGTCAAGCTCGACAGCTTTGCTCTGCACCCGCACACTCACCCATCAATCAAGGAGCAGTTCGACAACATAAACTTAATTCTAAAATTCCATTTACCCAGCAAATGCATTCCCAGAAGATAAATTGAATAGGATCTTAAGAAGCAGGCTAAGTGGAGCAGCCGGCATAAAACATAGCACTTGAAATTGGTGGCCAGCACAACGAATTTGCAGAGTAAACACTTAAATGGAGCGCGTCCTAAGCCCGAGTTAAATCGGAAAACTGAGAAATGTATTCAATCAGGATTAAGTCAAGCTGTAGATGGGTCACTGTGTGTTGGCCGTTTGGGAGGGCTTTTATGATTTTTCTTTTTTCTTTTTTAGTATTTGTGAAGAGTGTGCACAGAGTCAACTGGCAAAATAGCTTCTTCGGCATGCCAGCGAATAAATACAGTGGCAGACATGTGAGTTGAAATTGTGTCTTTATAAAGGAAGCTATATTCTCGACCCCATAATGTATATATATACATATTCTGAATCTGTTACTTTTTATCGCGTCGATGTCGAAAACTACAAGGGCTGAGCGCTGTGTTCAAAATATCTCCTAGTGGGGCACTCCCAACTAGAGTAGTTTTCCCCTTGCTATATCTATATTTTTATTTGCGTAAGTCTTTAGCTATATTTATTTTCATGTTTGCATCAAACAAGAATTTTAAGTAATTCTACAAAGTGAGCCACTGAGGAAAAGTTGTTGATAAAACGCGTTGAAGCGGCAACAGGCACCGAGCAACGAAAAGATAAGCTACTCGAATTGCTGAATGGACGGGCACGAGTCCACAGACGAGGGAAAACGGAGCATGCAAGCGTGGCAATAATGACTATATTTATGGGCTTGGCGAAACGCATAAAACGCAGGTTCCGACAGCCAAACAAACTTCACGACTGCGAGGATGCAAGCGGTAAGAATGTGGATAAATGGTCGAGCTGCAGAAAAGAAGCTGCAGAAGCTGCGTCTGAACGACACTTGCAACATTTAATTTATTATGCAAATGTGAACAAATGGCCCGAATGGTCATAGATGACAGGCGACGTCGCGGCTTGAATAATGTCCAAGGAGGACCATTTCCCTTTGCTTTGCTTCTATTCATTTGTATTCTTTACAACTTTGGTTTTATTCAGTTCAATGTCCACTGCTGTTAAAGTGAGGGAACTGTTTTCTCCTTTTTTTTTTTTTTGCAAAGAGATAACACATGACACGGTTTTGGGAATTTAAGATGCAAAGTCCAAACAAATTGAGTTACATGCAGATAATCGTTTATCAGATCCGTTCACAATGTGTTCAAATAAATGTATTTTGATTTGTCCACATAAGTCATGCTCATGTTTCTCTCGGGATTCGGGAATGTGTGAGTGGCAGTCGCATTGGAATAGTAACTGCATTTTAAATCAAGTATGATTTTATATTAGTTGATAGGGTACGTCTGCACACTTTGTGCTCTTTTCTTCCGAATTTTTTTATAGTCTAAGTGTAGGCATATGTACTTGTTTAGTTATACGTGTGTGTAGGAGAGCAATAAGTAAAACATTTGATATTTGGGTAAGGTTTAAGTCAACTTAAATAATTTCATAGCTCGGGTTGTTTACTACAAATAACCATCATATATCGCATTTGATCACTATAAACTACATTCCAAATTTGATCGACATGCCTAAAGCAACTCGGATCGACTGCCTTATCAAGATAGAAAATGAGTATTTGAAATATTTTTTCTTTTAGCTGAAAAGATTTTGAATCCTGTTTGTCAATAATTGTTGGAGACGTGCTCTATATTCAATTGCCGTTCACGGTTGTGTTGTGTGGGCGAAAGTTCAAATCTTGCAGAAGAATCAATTTAAATGCCTATATAAACACGCATTGACGCTTGTATATAAAATGTTTCTTTTTTATGTCTCTTTCTTATCTGTCAAACAGCCTATAATCCCCACCACATTGCTGCCGTCCTCATTTAAATCGCGGCACGAATCGAATGCGCGTCAATAATCGTAAAAGTGTCCCCATCGCAAAGGCGAAACAGCTCATGAATGCCAATTAGACGGGCGGCTTAGCAGTTGTCAGTGCCATAGAGAAGAGGCACATTGGAGACGCACCTGGTAATCCATATAATTGTCGAAATGCATGTAGGAGCCGGCGCCAACACCGCCCGGCACAGGCAAGGGTACGGGCAGGCCGTTGCTGTCCAGCTCGACGGCGGGCGGCGGCGGTGGTGATGGCGGCAGATTGTCTCCTTTGAAGGAGACGCGCTTGGTGTGTCCCTCGGGCCGCCGGTTGCGGCCCAATGTGCCCGCAAATCGCCCAGCGTGCATTGCACCGCCGGCTGCCAGCGTGCCCATCATGTAGGAGAGCGAACCGCAGCCAACGACAGCATCCTGATGTGGCTGCTGATGTTGCGCCGACTGCAGGCCGCAGCCGCCGAAGCGAAAGTGTGGCATGCAGGTTGTAGTGGCGCCTCCTGCGCCGCACTCGCTGCCCTCAAAGTCGCTTTCAACATCCGTTACAAAGGCGGCTGGTTGAAAGCCGCGCGGCAGCGTCGCCGCCGCTGACGCAGCCATTGCCGACGCAGCAGCCGACGCTGGCGGCGCGCGGCTTAGTGTGCCCGTACACAGAATGTTAACTGGCTGTGAATGGGAATGTGGATGCTGTTGCAGCTGAAGGCTATGTGGAAATTGTTCGCCGCCGCCTTGTAAGAGCGCCAATTCGCCGCTGACTCCGGCGCTGCCCGATGCTGCTGCTCCCTCCACGCCTGCCGTGAGAATATGAGCGGGTTGCAGCTGATAATAGTGCTCGACGCCGCCCTGAGGCTGCGGCTGCGACGCACCGGCTGTTCCCGCTCCTGGCGCCAGCAGTGTTGTTGGTATGACCATGATAGGCAGCATAGTTGGCGCCGAAGATGCCGGCGGTGTGTTTGTGCCGCAGGGCTGCAATAGCTCCATTTGGCACATTTCCTCATAGCTGAGCGGTCGCAGGTGCTCCATGTTGAAGTGTGGGCGTGGCAGCCGCTGTCTATTAGCAATTAATCAAATTTCACCTGACACGACCGACACTCCGACGCGCCTTTTCTCTGAATTTTCACCTAGACGAACACAGACACACACACACACGCACATGTATGTATACACTGACGACGACGACGACTCAGTCTCTGCACAGGAAGCGGGGGTGCAGATTCAAAAGATTTCGCGCGCGTACCTTTCAAACGTTTCTCACATGACGTCTTCGCTCGTGCGCCTGGCCCAACTTTATCTCGCGACAGTCCTGCAGCAACTGAAGTACAAGCCATCCGACAAATCTCGGAACTTTCAATTCGCCGTCGCCATTTTGTGCAGCGCTCGCGCATGCGCCTGACATTCGGAGCGAACCTTTCATCGCCGTCGCCATCGCTTGCGCCTTCGTCGACTCCATCGCCATCGCCACTGGCGTTTTGTTTTGGTTATACTTTATGGGTGAAAGTGTGAGTGCACCCTGCTCCGGTATGGAGCGCTGTTGAGTTCTTGCCGCGCCGAGGGAAATTAAAATACTTGAAACTGCAGCGGCCAGACTTGAATGCAAGATTTTAATTGCCGCGCCGCGAGATTCTCATCATGGGAGCATCAACAGCAGGGGCCACAGCAGCTGCGTTCGAGACGTCCAACCAACTGTTGACGTAACTGCGGTCATTCGCTGGATGGTCAGCTGAATGACCCTTAATTACAAGGGGCATGGTCCATAGGAAATGCATAGAATTTTAAAACAAAAAATAAATCATTTTATTTCAATGGAAAATTTACGAAGCGTAAGTTTGCAAATTGTTGAATTCAGTTCGCATCGAAGGTGGGCTAAATATCTCAATGCTTGAAAATATGAACTTTAAATTAATTACAGGTAATTTTTACTAATATTAATATCATAATTCATCATATTGTTATTAAAGTAGTATTATTATTATCAGTATATACAAGTTATCAATATAACTTCGGTTGATACAATACTACATTTATACACTAAGCCGGAATCAGATACAGAAACCTTGTTGTTCGCTTGGATGCAATAACTTGGTGATTTGAAACACTTTTCTATCAAAAAAGTACAACAGCAACAAACGAACAACTTTTAGCTCTTAAACTCAAAATCTCCATGGACGTTGTTAGCTTGATTTGTTTGGTGTGTTGAGAATTTGATTCGTTCTAATATTTGGGGCACAAGCTTTTTGGTGAATTCGTCTTGCGACTTCAAACATAATCGGGAGATGTCAGCTAATGGATCAGAGAATTGATTTGATGTTATTTGCTTGTGCAAATCTATTCCATTAGCC